TATATGTCAAGGAGTCAGTGGGAGTCTTAATGGTCTTGAAAGGTTTCAAGAACAAATCAAATAAACCTTATTGATCATCACTAGCACACGAGTTGAGGTTTACAACCTATCGTGAAGACATTATTTTGTTTCTGTGCCAATCCAATCGAGTTAATTATGCATGTGAGTCCTATGAGTTCTCATTTGAATGCAAGGACCTTGATCAATGGAAAGTACATTGATAGGAAAAGGTGAGCTACTTAACTACTTGGAAGACGTGGTGGGCAGCTGTGCTACCATAAGGCAAGAAATCAAGATTAAGAAAGTTCGATCCATATGAGTTTGAATTTGTCGTAAACTTTGGTTTTAACAAATTCACATGGATAGGAACACATACACCGTTTAAATCTAAGTGTCATAAGATTTCCTCCTTCATGAAAATGATTGTGAGAAAATGCTTTCACTAAGAAAGATTTTAAAAGATAGTGATTGTAAAATTGCATTCTCGAATTCGATCATGGTTACGGCATCCCTTTCCATAATTTGAATTGTGAGGTTTGGCAATTAGTCTTAATTGTTAAGACACACATATGAACTATCTAAGGCAAAAGTGTATAAGTTCAAGAAGCCTTGATAAAAGATTATCAAAGCACTAAGTATTAGAAACATGAACTTAAGAAATTCAATAAGTATTGTTTTTCTGAAAGTTAAGATGTTTATGAATACATGTCGAAGCTAGTGGGAGCATAAGTGTTATGTTTTATAATAATCATCATGATAGTGGGAGCATAAATGTTATGATTGTATGATTATTAAGGCACGTATTGCATAGTTGGCAATATTAATTATAGAAAACAAGAGTCATACTTTGCAAAGTTGTAAGAGTTGAAAGGTTGTTTTGCTATAATTAAGGGAGAGAATATTATGCTTCATTTCAAATCTAAAGGATTAGGTTGTGAAATGTTAATAAATTTAGTCAAAGGTACATAGTGTGTTCTTAAAATTTCGATTATGATTACGGCATTCCTCTTCACAATTCGAATTTTGAGAACATAGCAAATAAAACATTGTGCATCGTGTCCCATACGCTTCGGGTATAGGATCGATTGCAAATGCTTTAATGTTTGACCATTCTAAAATTTTCCAAATGTCTAGTGCATTTAGAGGGAAAAGGGACTAGAATTGGTTTTGACTAAAATAATTAAACAACTATCAAAGGACAATCCAAAGTTCGACGAGGATTGGTCGCTTGTGAGTAGTTGGAAGTATAGTATTGGAAATTATGGAAATGTTTCCATATTGGATGGACAATATCGACATCATTACGAATAGATAAGATTCTATTAAGAATGAGTTGTCATATGGAAAATATGGAAGCGTGTCCATATTGGGAAGTAAATATTGAAAATCTATGTCTAGATTAGAAACTTTATGCAAAAGGATGTTCAAAGGAATGTACTTTGAGAGAGAGACATCATATCTAAGGAATTGTCTTGTAACAATCTCCGATAGAGGACTTTGTAATATCATTGGCAATAGTCTTTGTGACTTTGGTGCAGTGACATTACAAAGGATCGTTGCATAAAGTGTTAGAATCTAGTATATTCTATAAGTAACAAGAATTTGATATTCTTACACTTAAGAAAATGGATTTGGAGTTGTAAAATGAGAATGATTGGAAATGTGTTCAATTTGTCTATTTCACAAAAGTAAGAACCATAGGTAAACATTGTGTGCATGCTAGGAGCATGGGACAAGTGTTGGAATTCAAGTAAGTTGATTACCCGAAACGACAAATAATGAGTAATCGATATGGTGATAAATAAAACGTGTTTTGTTTATACTCAAAGGTTTGAGGCCATATGGGATTAGTATTATTCTTGTGTTTCACCTTGCATGTTTTGACTTCCAGAATAATTGAGTTTATTAAGAATAATCGAATTATTCAAACGGGCCACAGTCGTTCATATGTTGGAAGTAGATATGAATGAAGACTGTCGTGAATTGGTGTGTGGATTGTCTAGAAGAGTATTAGACATAAGCAAATGTTTGCTGCAACGTTCATGAGTGCTTATGAATATGATTTGAGCATTGGATTAAACCCACGCTCACTTGGATCACTCCATGAATTGTATTACGAGTGATTGGTGAGACGATAACATCTTATATTCTTGAAACCGAGATGTGTGAGTTGTATCTTGCGAATCGGTTGCACATTGATAATATGTAAACGCACTAGTAACTTGGTGTTATAAAACATATTGTTGTGTGTGATTTGGTTAGTGAGTGCAAGCGAGCATTGTATCAAAGTTTATCCGTTCCTTTTATCCAAAGTAGGATAAAAGCGATATCTTTGGGCCCCTCGATGGTTTAGTGATGACAACGTAAATGCTCGGCCGGGCTAGGGCTAATTTGATTTGTTCAATTAGTCTGTCGTCATAAATCGGAAATCGAGATATAGTACAAAGAGAATGATTTGAAATCATATCTCATACGATATCTAGAATGGAGGAATATATGATCCCTTATCTAAGGACACGCGTATCTGATATGATCAGAGTTGACAGCGGCTTTGGAAAGCTACGATTGCAGATCAGGATCTGAAGTCATACGCAGAATAGTTGTTAGACTTATCCAAGTGGGAGACTGTTGGATTAGTGTCTAAGTCCATAACTATTTTGGTATGTACTTGACCCGATGGTGCATGGTCCTTTTGGGTTGCCTTCACCAAAGCAACTTGATAGGATGAATTATGGAGAGTAAGGATTAAATATGATTTATTAATATATTATGGGAATAATATATTAAAGGAGAAATCATATTGTTTAATTAATATTAGTCAATAATTAATTGGTAATTAGTTTTGTGACTAAAAGAGATTAATTAAACTTAAGGGACTGGAATTGTAATTATAAGATAATTATAATTTGGGCCATGGATTGCCTTGTATCAAGGGTTGGACGAATTCTATGGGGGAAGCCCATAAGGAAATCGTCCAAGGGCTTGATTAAAAGGAGTCTATGGGTTGCTTAGGGCTTAAGCATCCAAATTAGGGTTTCCTTGTTAGATAACCCTAATAGCCCAACTATATAAAGACCCCTTAAGGCTCAAAAACGTGGCTAAGCTTCTTGTAAGGGTTTCTACACGTTTTTGGCAGCATCCATCCTCTCTCCTCTTCATCCTCTTGCTTATGGTGTTTGTGAACCATTAGAGGAGTGACACTTGTGACTCTAAGCCTTCCAAAGTCAATTCAAGGAGGAATTGTGATTGTTATTGCTACATAACAATCAAGGTAACACTATAAACTTATTCTCATGTTAATATGATTATATGTATGCTAGAATTAGGGTTTATAGTCTTGGATTCAAAGCATGTACAATAGAGAAACCTAGATCCAAGCATTAGGGTTTGTATGAGCACATAGGATGTCTTATGACCAAAACCCATCATATATACCATAGGGTTATCTAGACCAGACATTCAAATCTTTTGAACACATACAAAAAATCAAGATAGACTCTTTGTGCCACCTTTTCATGTGGGACAAAGATTGCTATTTTTGTTACTAAATATAGGGTAAAATGACCTGCCTACACCAACTACAGTGAGAATCTCAAATGAATAAATTAATTTGTCAATTTGAAGCTGTGAACTCCTCCTTCAAGACAACTTTAAGCCATTCCTCGAAATCTCCTCGATATTTAGCACCAGCAAGCAAGGAACTCATGTCCATGGATATTAGTTATAAAGTAGAAAGATCATAACTCAAAGTTAATCAACACAAGTTTAATGTGTGTAAGTGTAATAGGTTTGAATTTGACCAACACCATTAAGTCATTATTACTTAATCCCAAAGGGGCTTGGGCCTAAACCGTAATCATTACCCCCCCCCCCCCCCCCCCGCAGTTTGATCGAGAGGAGAGGATTAAACTGGAAGCATAAACAAAAGAAGAAAACATAAAAACATAGATGGAGACAGTGGCAGCGGCGATGGCAAAGCTTTGACGATGAAGGCTAACAGTGATTGCTCGTTGGAGATTAAGAGAGAAGAAGTGGTGCCCAAAGGTGGTTTCGTTGTAGAAGAAGAGAAGACTGATGGTGGCGACAACGATTATGGAACCGACGATAGAGGAGTCCGTAGAAAGACATCGAGAAAGAAACAGGAGCTGAGTTGTGGCGGACGGAGACAATGTCGGCGTGATCGGCGACTGCAGTGTTGAAAGAAAATAGTCGACCACTAATCAGAGGCTTCATGGAGGAGAAGTTGCCATCGGAGGGAGGCAACAACAACATCAGAAAAGCATGATACGGAAAAGAGGCTCATATTAGAAGAATAGGCCAACCGAAGAGACAAAAGACTCAGAGGCAGGGCCATCCGAGGAGGAGGCAGAAGCAGACGAGGCAATAAAAGAAGGCGAGGAAGGAGCTCTGGTATAACATCAGTGGTTGCTTTATTATTTAGGAAGAGAAAGAATAAAAGAGAAAATATGGAGCATAATGAAAGCACATCCGACGACTATTAGAGAATACTGCAGTAGGTGGAGAGCGACGACTACAGATTGTGTGGTCGAAGGTAGGGTTTTAACCTAAAACGATGCTAATTGGTTTAATTTCCTATCTCTTCGTTTGCCTTACAAGAGACATATAAATGCATGAGGGAGACGTTGGGCCGACATATATAATAGATATGGGCTAAGACTAATACGCAATATATATACAAGTACAATGAGTCCACTAACGTATCTTTTCAATCAAAAATATGTCAAGTACAATTACAAGTACATTTTCAATTGGCCATATTTTAAAATAAATATATCAATATCTCGGAATGTTACGAAATTGGTATTGGCTAACTTTTTGAGATGAATTCCTAAATGATTATCTATTTATTTATTTATTTTTATTTTTTTTGCACCAAATGAATAAAAGTTAATTCTTTAAAGTTTGGATGGATTTTCCTTCTGATCAATGAAAATAGAAGATTACGCCCTTTATTTTTCACAAAATCTATCTGGAGCAGTATGGAGCCGAGGAGCAAGGCAGTAGATAAGATAGAAGGTGGAGCAGAGGATACGGTTAGGATAACGAACTTGAAACGCTGAGCCCGAACCTCCGGCGAGCGAGCACACCTTATCGTCGTTTTATCTTTGCAGCCGACCACATCGTCTTCTCAATATCTCACGACTGCGTCTTCTTCATCTCTTGCGCCGATAGGTGAGTATCTCTCTCTTTCTCCCTCTCTCAATCGCTGGTATGTAGAACATTATCAATTAACCTGCGTTTTTCATGAATCGATTTCCTGTGAGAATCGACTGGTTCCTGAAAATCGATTGCTTGCTACGTGGAACATAATCGATTGCTGCTGAAAATCGATTTTCAGACTCGATTTCATGTGTTTGAGTAGGAAAATGTACCACTTTATAAATGCTTGCTGAAAATCGTTTTCCTGTGAGTCGATTCCTTCCCCTCTTTGCAAAGTAATCTGTTTTTTATTTGAGTTTCTGTAGGTTTTGTATTGTTTCCAAAATCAGATTCTAAATGGTCTTTTATTTTTTCATTTAAAATCACTACATGAATATGATTTATTCGTCATTCCCCTGTTTTCATGAAAGCTCTTTTGTTATACCCTATAGATAGTTTCTACCATGCCACTTGCCACTGTTATGATCTCTTGACTGTTCTGAACCAGATTGTCCATGAATATGTACTAACAAGTTCCATGTTCGCAATATATTCATTTTACATGATTCCAATTAGATTTCCTGCCAACCAACCAAACAAACAAACAGAATAAGGAATTGGATTCCAATTCTTGACAGATTTCAATTCCATAATAGATTCAATTCTGGGAACACCATCCCACCCCAGGAAAGGGAAAGTGAGATGGCAGCGACAGGCCATTGTATGGCTCATTTTATGGAACTTGCAGACTCTTCTACCAAATGCAACATCATATTAGGTGCAACCAGACACACGGTCTACACCCACACCCAAGTAAGCATTTCTACGTAATTTTCTTTCTACCTAATTTTTATTTTCTAATGCCCGTGGCAAATATCCGGGTCGAATTACACAAGTGTATTTTTATTTTTATTTTTTTTATCAGAGATATAATCATTTTTGTTCGCTATCAATGAACGGTTGCCAAGCTCGAGACCCAAGAGGTCCTGTCGGGATGACTGAAACTCGGACTTTTCCGTCTGTATCAACACCTGCCATGGCAATGGAACGACTCAGTTCTGTGATTACTGAGTTGGGGTCCCACCCGCCGGTGTTCAGGTCCGGAATATTACGGCTGGAGGTAATTAATTATGTGGCTAAGCTATCTAGGTATTGTTATTTCTCGGTATAGGCTTATCGTTGGCCAATGGAAATGTGCCATGTGGCAAAAATGTGTTTTTCATATAACAAAAATGTGCAAACATTGTAATCAGAAATACGGAAACCGATTACCTCCTCACTCATACATATATGCAACAACAAAAACCAGTTTTAGTAACTTATGCAATAATTCATACAGTAATAATTGATTTTTTTTTAGTTATTTCTGTAACTGCCACGGATAATTTAATATCTTTTCAGTCGGATATTTTTCGTTCTATCAATTAAACATTTTAACAACACAAGTTCCACATGTTAGTCCTGAAATTATTAAAGTTATTACATAATTTGTAAAAACATCATTTTATTTATATACACAAACTTCTATAACATTCTTAATGAAATTATTATATAAACATTAGTGGAAAAGAAAGTTTGTCATGTTTGAGATTCCATATGTGAGTTATTTATTTGTTTATTGCAATACGATTTAATATTGTTAATAAGCATAGAATTTAAATAAAATAAAATTAAACATGTTTATTGATTTAAATAAAAAGTTTTTAACAAATTATTTCTTTTTAACTTATTTAAAAAAATGATTATTATACACCGAAACAATTTCACTATTTTGCCATTATTTTAATTGACGCGTATAAATCATAGTTTTTTTTTTTTCTAGCATTTAACATTTAACAAAAAGTTTGATTTAAACAAAAAAAATTTGTTTGTGATTAAGAGCTTTTAGTTTTCAATTTAAACAAAAAAAAAAGAAAAAAAATCTATATCTAAAAATTACTTCATATAGTATTTAAGAAAAGACTACTGGATTTTTTAATCCACGGTTATCACCTTGCGACTCGAAACCCTAAATTTTGAATTGTGACTCGACTCGTGAGAGTCACTGACTCACGATACTAAAAAGTATATACAAAATATTGTATATAACGTCCTGTATAAACAAAATATGATTAACTACTTAATCAATTTTCAGAATTTCCTTTGATTTTAATTATCACAGTGATCCTTATTTTTAAACGGATGCTAATTTTATATTATTTTGCATATTTCAAAAACTTTAAGCTATTTTTATCAAATATTTATAAAAACTGCTCAAACAACTTTATAAACCCTGTTTCAATAAATAACCCAAACGCCAACATGTCCGACGAATCACATGTTATATTATGAATTTTGATAGTTGAAATTTATTTGATTATTTTGGATGGAAGGTTCCAATCGAACAGCAAATCGAAGCAATCGACTGGTTACGCGCTCAGCAACAATTCCAGCATCTCCCTCTATGTTTCTTCTCGGGTAGAAGTAGAAAGCAAAGAAGAATCAATGGCTATGGCTATCCTTCTCCTTCTCATTCTTTATTTGATTACGACGACACCAGCGATCACGATTCCTCTCCCCTCAGCGTTGCTGGTTTCGGTTCTGCTGTCTTCTTTCGCCATTTCAGTCCTTTCTCACTCCATGATTGGCGATCTATCAAGAGGTAGGTAATACCGCATGCATTTTCTGTCTGTCTATGATTATTGTTACCTAATCGAAATTTGAGAAACCCTAACATATTACTTAGAACGACGTGTATTTGTCTACGAATAAGAAGAATGTATGTTGTATGTTGATGCTCTTGCTAACATCCTTACAAGCATGTTTAACGATGCAAACAAGTTCGTATTACTTATATAATTCATACACCTTTGGATGATTTGATGTGGGATGCCTAGTGCCAAAAAGAGGATGTTAGGACAAATAGAGATCGGTTGAAAGTTGTTAAAGCAAATAGGGTTAAATGTAAGAATTAGCAATGTATTCCATTGATTTGTTTAAGATAGCATCCTACTTTCATAGTTTCATTTTCTCCTATTACAACATTCTGCTTTGAAAGTTATAGTAATATTATCAAAATACAAAGCAACTTTCACTGTCATAATTAGGTAGATATTTCAATGTATAATGTTCTAATAAGATATGAATTGAAAGTAAAATTCTATTATAGCCTATAATATATAGATTTTTCAAAGTACAATGCCTTAATTGGAAAAACAATTTGTAAAAGCAATGCTCAATTAGAAAAATTGCAAGTAGGAAGGAAGGGTGCTATGATACACAAATAAATGAACATATGTTTGTTATTTCTTGCATTTAACCAGATAAAGCAATAGTAACGATTTTGGTTTGTGCATTCTTTTTTGAGATTACAAAGGAATAGAATAAGCAAAGCAACGGAATGGGATGGGTTGTTACATCCATTATCATATTTGGTTGGTTTTAACTTTGAAGAAATGCAATGAGTTATTCAAGCTTTTGGTTTGTTATGCACAATTAGAACCTTATGTTCTATAACTAAAAAGATGATGCTTTTAGATTTTCCATTTGCTTTATTATGTATCTAATGCTGAATTACTTAAACCTGAAGGTTCCTCTCTAAGAAGTGTTCAATGATCCGTGCTTATGGGGCTATCCGTTTTGATGCCTTGGCTAATATATCGTCTGAATGGGAAGCTTTTGGGTCATTCTTTTTCATGATTCCACAGGTAAAAAACTGCAACTTGTTCAGTTGTAAGTATGTTCTCCCCCACCTGTAGGTAGTATTTGGTATGATGGAATCAGGAAAAAGAACGGGAATGGGTCATTCCATTGGAATGGAGAAAAAGTTGTTTGTTTTCTCTCATGGAATGAAATGGACCAATGTGATTCCTTTCATTTTGTTAATTATCATTCCTTAGTTACTGGTGGTTTTTTGTTCATACTTTTAATGAAAAATTGCAATATAATTATAACCAGTTTTTATTTATGTAATATTCAATGACACAAATCTTTATAAAAAAGTTCACAGTTTTAAATTTTAATCAAACCAATATTTTATATTTAAAAGTGACTAAAAGTATATTTTTTGTTATGATGTTCAATTTTTGAAATTTTATTTTGTAAATAAATCAAATTCATACAGTTATTATTATAACTACGTTATGCATAAGCTAGTGTTAAATTTACACATTATATTTGCATATAATATGAAACTTTTATGAAAATGTGTTCCATTCTAATGGACATAGAATGTGATGACTCATTTCATTACCTTTCTTATTCCATTCCATTTCTTTGTCATTCCTCTCCATCCAACCAAACAAAACAGACCCTGGTGTAGCATGTATAGGTGAGACTGATTGTGGTTAGATATGCAAGTACAGGTTGAGTTTAATGAATTTGAAGGAAGTTCAATGCTAGTGACTACTATTGCCTGGGATGAATCCCTTTCATGGACATTTGGGAAGGCAATACATGCACTTCAGGCCACCATGAGACAGGTACATCTTCTGCCAACTTTTACATTTGAGGGGGGTGAATTGGAAATTGGACTGAATGGTTTTAGCCTATGGTTAAATGCAAGAAATAGCAACATAGTTAAGTTGATTTATTTATTATAACATCTTCCTTTCATTTCTTCCTGTTATAACATTTTACTTTGAAAAATATACCCATTTATAGCAAATTCAAATCACTTTTGGCTGGCATAATTTGGTAGATATTTTCAAAAGTACATGTCTTAGATAATAAAAAATATATTTAAAAGAACAGTGCTATAACGGGGTAGATTTTTCATTTTTCAAAGTAGAATGTTGTAAATTGTAATAGACAAATAAATAAAAGTAGATTGCTATTTCTTGCATGTTCTGATGAAAATTCAAAACATGTATGTATGTATGTATGTGTTTTGATGTGATGCAGGTATCCTGTAATATTGTAAAGTTACGAAAAGAGGTTCCTAATACATCCATTTTAAGCAGCAATAATGTTCCAAGTAAGAAAGTATGGGATTATGGGGTTAACAGAGCATTGCAGATGATAAACAAAAACAACTCCAACTCACCCCTTATCAAGGTGGTGCTTGCACGTAGCAGTATAATCAGAACCTCCCCTGATATTGATCCTCTGACATGGTTGGCAACTTTACAGGTACTTCTTCATTTGGCATTATTATATCCATATCATATGTATGATTCCTTCTTATATTACTTGGCTTGGTAATTAAATTGTAGGTTGAAGGAGAAAATGCTTACCAGTTTTGTCTTCAGCCTCCTGATGCACCATCGTTTATCGGGAACACTGTGAGTGCAACTATATAGCATATATAGATCGTTACTTTAAAATAAAAAAAATAATAGATTTTGTTGTGTGTTCTGTTAATGACTTACTTGAACCTTGATGAATAGCCAGAACAATTATTTCATCGGAATAAATTCGACATTTACAGCGAAGCCATGGCTGGAACCCGAGCTAGAGGTGACTCAAAGGCCCTTGATCTGCAGATAGCATTAGATTTACTTTCCAGGTATTTAATAATATTATGTCTTATTGTTTATCCAAGTTTTAAAAATCATGCATTGTATTATGTTTTTTTCCCTTTTGCAGCTCTAAGGATGACAAGGAGTTTTCTATAGTGCGGGAGTGCATAAGAAGAAAATTAGAGGTAAATGTAGAAACAAAAATTAGTAGGTAGGGTAGGTAATTACTATCTGTGCACTCACTCATATTTATCAAATACAAATGCAAATGATAATGCATGTGTAGTCAGTATGTACGACAATATTGGTTGAACCGGAGAAAACCATACGGAAGCTACCTAGAGTACAACATCTTTATGCTCGATTAAGAGGCAGATTAAGAAGTCAAGATGATGAGGTATGCTATATACTCCACTATTTCATACCAAAACAATATGTTATGGTGTTATGCAATGTAGTATAATAATAATGCAACAACTAGCAATGTACTTTGAAAATCTACCTACCCAAGTATAGCATTGTATTTTTTTTTTTTTTTTGAAGTATGATATAATTGAGTCAAATTTCAAAATAAGAAAAAAAAAATGGAAGTAGGGTGCTGTAATAGGTTAAGCCTTGTTGGTTAAATACATTACATGGATAGTTAGGAGAATGAGTTTTGACTGTGTGAGTGCAGTTTGATATTTTGTCTTCACTTCATCCAACTCCAGCTGTATGTGGATTCCCTACTGAGGAGGCACGTCTTCTCATAGCAGAAACTGGTACATGTATATTCCTTCATCTTCTTCTTGTTATAGATACACATATATTTATGTGTGTGTGTGTGTGTGTGTGTTGATGAGAAATAGTGGTGGTGCAGAAATGTTTGACCGAGGAATGTATGCTGGCCCAGTTGGTTGGTTTGGAGGAAGAGAGAGTGAGTTTGCTGTTGGTATAAGGTCCGCCTTGGTTCAAAAGGTCGGTCACTACTTATAACTTATGTTCTCCCTTTTATTTTATTTGTTGTTATTGTTATTGTTATGCAGTTTTTTTTATGATAAATTTATATGTATATATGAACATGAGTAGGGGGTTGGGGCATTAATATATGCTGGGACTGGGATAGTGGAAGGAAGTAATTCATCACAGGAGTGGGATGAACTTGAACTCAAGACATCTCAGGTTTCACTTTTCCTTTTCCTCTTATTTCTGCATATTTCTAATTTTCTTTTTTCCCATTCCTACCATTACAATTTTTGTCCCACAACCGACGAAGAGAACTGAAGACGATTTTTTTTTTTTTTTTTTTTTTAAATTTAAATGATGTATGTCCTTTATTAATTAGTTCACGAAGCTGATGAAGCTGGAGGTGGCCTCTATCAATACAAAGAAGGCTATGTTATCTGAAATGTAAAACTACTTACTGTAAAGGTTTGTTTTCCTTTACAACTCAACTCGCGTTGCTTTGTATTGTGTTTGAGGTTTTAGCAAACCAAAGTTTGGCCTGGATAAACATACATACAAACGCAATCTCTTTTCTTTTCCCAAAATACAAAATTCTTTTTGAGACTAATCCAGTAACCTATATGTGTGTTCCTGTTTTACTTCATGTAAAACGACTTAATAAAGTAGGTTAGGGAATTGAAGCTTTCTTTCCCATTGAGTCCTATGGCACCACCCCTTTACAAAATTTGTCATTTATTTATTTATTTATTTATTTCGTTTTCTTGTAAATCTTTTTTTATCGTTTATTATTCAGACAATGCTCTATCCTATCCAGATTCCACTTAATGGGATTGACCATGCCTGTCTTCATTCATTCATTCATAATTCATTTGGTTAAGGAGGCAATTGCAAATGCCTAGGAAGATTATTTTGATGAAGATACACCCACCCCATCTTCTCAATTCTCATCCAATCGATTTCAGGTAGATAGCCTTGTTTTCTGGTTTCTTTTTGTTTATATTCATCATTATTTGGGTGTGAAAAATCCTGCTTCAGTTAATACATCACCACTTGTATATTATTAAGCAATATTTCTTTAATAGATTAAAGCTAACACTGCATTTTCTATAACCACCCTCCCTTTAATATATACTTAATTCTTTTAACAATTAAATGTTAACTCTTACTTCTAGGCAGAAACTTATGTTGGCTTTCAAACCCTTCAAGTGGCGCCTAACAATATTTTATTTGTTATTTAATTTAATTCTGCATAGGTCTGTCCCTACCTTTAATAGGTGGGGACCCTCTTTGAGATATAAACAAAGCGAATCAATGGAAAGACCTAACTTATTTTGCCATTAAACTTACTTATATAATGAAATTAGAAATAAATAAATAATTGATGTTAGAAAATAGGGAAAGTATATAAGTTAGAACTTGGATAATTTCGATGATCATGTGGAAAATATTTTCCAAAATCTTTGATTTTTATCCTATTACATGGGGTATCACAAAACCAGATTTGGGATAATCCAAGAAAATAACAATTTAGATTTCAGGCATGTTTTAGATTCAAAAACACAAAAATACCTTATTGTTTTGTTGTTGTTGTGTTCTTGAGACAAATTGTAGAAAAATGTAATATGTGAAAAAGTATGTTTTGCAACAAAACTAACAATTGTATACACCCAATGGTAGTTAAGTTCGGTTATGATTTTGGAGGGAAAGTTGCATTTGTTCCAGCTAGTTGTGATGGTTGTTTTGGTGGGACCACTGAAAAGTCTTTAAATTATTTTACATATTTATAGAATTAAAATGAAGGTCTACAAAAAGATGACATGTTCCATTTATCGGCAATTGATGAAAAACCGATACAAAATCTCATGAACATTTATCGTAGAGGTCTTATTATTTATCTATAATATATTTGTTCAACTTTAATCATATCACGTGGTGACAGAAAGAAGCCATTTTATGATTTTGTTTAAGACCCTAAGTTTAAAATGTTACAAATCAACCTCAAACTTATTAACATGGCACATAACAACCATACAATATTTTCCACATCTTGAATATAATGGCTCACGTCATTATTGTAAGCCATGATCTTTTAATGGTAATGCAACATTTGTGAGGCATAGACATTTCCAAGGCCACAACTTTATGGTTGACTTTCTATCAACATCAAAATTAATCAAGACATTTGACTTTAAAAGGTTGAACATGCTCAATAAAATCACAAAGATTCCCATGCAAATAATTCATTTTTCATAGTATTAGTTTTCTTGTTTTTGGATTTTAGCATGTTTAGAAAACGAAAATAGAAGAAAAAGAAAAATATACATAAAAAAATTGTTGTATAGAATCAAAGAATGGGAGAGAAGGAAAAATGGCAAGACAACCGCAAGACAACCGAAAAGAAAAAAACATAAAAAAAAAAAAAAAAAAAAGAGAAAAATGAGGGTGGTGAGAATGGGGGCCGAGAAAAAGACACGAAAAATGCTAAAGATTAGAAGAAAATGAAAAACCACAAGGTTGGTGGTAAGGGTAAAAAAGGTGAAGGAAAAGAATCCTCATGATAAAAAGGATTTAAAAAAGCTAAAAAAATCAAGCTTGAGAAAATTCATATGAATGATGCCTGCCTACGTAGTCCATTAGTAAATATTGAAACAAAGTTGCAAACCTTCAAAAGGACAATATGAAATGGTAATTTGTATCGATATGTGTTGATGTTTGTCCTAATGATAAGAACATTACACATAAATCAGGTATTGGTGCCCATAAAGGAGCCCAACCTACAATGAAAATTTTACTCTCACGTTACGGCTGTTGCGAGTGTAACCTTTGTATAAGATGCATATCAGGCATACGGTCACTAGGTGGCTGACACAACTTAAATCACATAAAGAGCCCAATCTACATTAGAGTTGAAACTCCATGTTGTTGTTGCTAAGACTGTTTATGCAAAGTTAACCACCACCGTGTAACCAACTAATGTGAGCATGAATATAGCATAAATTATCAATCTACCTCTTTTGGGTTCAACCAAAGGGATGTATTAGAACAAATTAATGGCACCTATAACAATTTAATGACACCATGGTCCACTCATTAAACTTTTAGATGAATTCACACAAAAATATTGCATTTTTATTTCATATTTTCATAAAAAGATGAAACCTATTCCCCAACATCCCAACAAGCAAATCCCATGACCAATATTATTTTGTTTTTCATGAAGACTCAACCAAAACAAACATATAAACTATAGGCAAACGAATACAAGAAACAAAACCATATAGATATATACTTGCAAGATAAAGGTTTTTTTTCATTAGGTGTTAGGGAACCTGAAGAAGTCCATCATGTATCTGATTAGGAACATCACGAACCGCACTTGATCCCTGAGGGATAAACACAGTCGATGATTTAGAATATGTACTAATGTCCTTCATCGTGTCAAAATACTGAGTTACTAAAACCATGTCTATAACATCTTTTGCAGTTGTCCCAGGAACATTCACCAAAAACCCCAACACAGTGTCTCTCAAACCCTTCAAAATCACTTGCCGTTGACGGCTATACCCAAACCCAACAAATATTTGGATTCCGACTCCCCCTCCGTTCTCTTTATTTAAAGAATTTTCTCCGTTTCTACTTTTTCAGTAGCTGCTATCCTAAATCTTGCAGGTGCAGATAAAGTATTGTCTAGGTATGTAGCGCCCCGATTCTCAAGTATTATTATTATTATGGCTTAATTTTCAAGTTTCAAGATCTACTCGACAAGTTGGATGCCCTGACACGTCGAGTAGCAGCGGGATTGGGCCACGAGTTAAGTGACCAACTCGCCGAGTCGGAAGAGTGACTCGACGAGTTGGAGCAGGAGGGTGAAACCCTAATTTCCAGGGTTTTGCACCCTATTTAAGGATTCATTAGCCTCCTTTTATTCCCTTACAACCTCCAGAGAGTCCAATAAAACCTTATTTCGTCTGTGAGCTTCATTTGAGTGTGTTTGAGCTTTGAAAGGAGGAATTTGTGAAGGAAGCTTGAAGGTCAAGTAGCTAGCAACAAGAAACCCGTGTGGATCTACAAAGCCTGCCTCAGTTAGCTTCATTTTGTGGTATCAATTCATGATCTTGGCATTAGTTCCTTCTAAATCTCATATGGGTGAAGTTAGGGTTTTGCTTTGAAATTGAGTTACTATGGTGTATGAGCTAGATCTGAAGTTGCAACTTCAGATCTGAACCCTCCTTGGGATTTAGGTTCATAAAGTTTCTAGCTTGGGCATGTATGAAAACCATCTTTTTGTTAAACCTCATTTCAAGATGGACTTGGCATTATGAACCATTAGAGCCTTGCATACACGTAAAGTTTGCAACTTTACATGACAAGTACGCCCTAGGAGCTTAGATTTGCAATATAGAGTCTCTGCATGGCTTAAAAAGCACCTATATGGATAAAGACCCGTGGGAACTCGGCGAGTTGCAAGGTCGAATCGGCAAGTCCTATGAAGATGGCCTTAGGCTCGACGAGTCCTATGAGAAACTCGGCGAGTCCGATGAAGAATGTCATAAACCCGACGAGGCCGATGAAGAATGTTATAAACCCAACAATTCAGGTGTTGACCCAGCGAGTCTGATGAAGATTTCCTTAGGCTCGGCGTGTCAGATGAGTGACGCGACGAGTTGGTAAATTATACAAGGAGCTCGGCGAGTATGTGAGGGTACTCGACGAGTTGAGGTCAATATGGACTGTTGACCTTGACAGTTGACTTTGACTTTGACCAAGGGTTGACCAGTTGACTTCTAAGAGCGTTTTGGTAAATTGGATAATTATAGCAAAGGTCTTTAGTGAATATAGGTATTGGAGTTGGAGCTACATTTGGAGGAGTTTGATCTTACTTTCCGATCTACTTACGAGGTGAGTTAACTCACTTTACTAAGGGGTCTAAGGCACCAAGGCCGGCCCATTGGATATGTTATCCTAGCAGTGTTAGTATGTTGAGTATGAAGTTAGTGTTGCATGCTCCGTGCGGTAACCAACAAACCCGGGAGCATTCCAAATACAAGCTGATGGAGACTTGTACTGTGGGCTTGATGGCAAGCCAGATGTGAGTTGTGGGCCCGAAAAGCAATCCAAACTCACACTGTGGGCCCAAGGGGAATCCACTTTTAAAGTTGTGGACCCATTGCATGTTGTTTAGTTTGTTATGTCATGATATTGTTGACATGGTTATGTGGATTGTATGTGTATCGGTATTTTGGGGGAACTCACTAAGCCTCTAGCTTACAGTTTCAGTTTATTGTTTCAGGTACATCAGGAGATCGTGGTAAGGCGAAGACATGATCGTACAACTCCTCACATTTTGTTTATGTTTCTGGGAAAACTCTGATATTTTACATTTTGAATACAAAGTGTAATAATTCAAATGGTTTGAAATGTTTCTTTTAAAAATTCAAATTTTGCTTGAAATTTTGTGTGTTACATGGTGAATGATGGTAAAAAAAATATATGAGAAAACAATGCACACTTGGGGAAATTGATATTTTAAAATTTGTTTTTTTGGAATGTAAGGGTGAAATGTTATGTATACAATACGATTATCAAGATATACATCATTATACATTCAACAAATATATTATGGTTCATAATTATCAATATTAAAATATGAAAAACTGATAATTGTATAAATTTAATAACCTTTTCAAGTTCTTGCTTAGCTGTCTTGGCAATTTCATTCTTTTGTTCAAAAGTATCATCCACATGTTCTCTCATGCAAAAAGCTCTTGTAACTACAAAACAAAAACATGCCTTATTAAATCGTTGGCAACAATATAAAAATATATTATCTGAAAAATCGATGAATGTTTGTACCATCAAAATTCAAAAACATAAGTCCAATGCGTATGCTATGTTGTCATATCATTTTTTAATGGGACGTAGCATGGTGTTAGAAAGTGGTAATGTGTTAACATGTCCTTTAAAGAAAAATAATAATAACCGATCACAATCAACATGCACACTCTTTCCTCTCTAATCTTGCTAAGCTGCCAACGACCCAACCTTGACGCACCACCTTAACGTACGTTAGAGGGAGATTAGCATGCGCTAAGAGCTTGGTGAGTGGGCTTTGCGCACCTACTCATTTTAGTCTTACAATTCATGCTCCTGGCCCACTAGGCTACATCTATTTTGTTTTCCTTTTTAAAATATTTTAGATAACGATCTAAAGTACTTAAAACTTGAATACAATTAATCTTGTTAATCTTAAGGTTATTATTATTATTATTATTATTATTATTATTATTATTATTAATTCACATAACACCTTAAACTTTTGCTACAAAAGTTTCATAATTTTATTTTCTCCTTAATTTTTTATCACATTAGTTTGTAGAGTTGATGTTTTTGATCCCTGACATTTACCAAATGTGACGCATCAAGTTTTTGGCACATTAGTTTATGGATTTAACGTTTGGGCCCCCTATCTTCGATATTCTAATATACAACCCTATTTTCCTTAAAACATAATAAACACACAAAATGGAAACAACACACAAGAAAAAAAAACCAAAAAGTCACCGAAACATGTAAAAAAAAATACTCGGATCGCCTTCTAATTATATTTAAAGTGGAAATAAATATATAAATAAAAAAAAATACATTTTTATGTTTTACTAAATTGTTCTTCTTTGGCTATGGGCAAATATTTTACTTTCCATCCCTTTCTTTTGTTAAAGATACAATAATGACCTTCATATCCAATTTCAAATCATTAACGATTACCATTAAAACACCCACATGGTGGCTCTAGTATTTGAATTTCAAGTCCCTCTTGCAAATGACATGGAGTGTCATGTCATTGATATTAACAATTCCTTTTAGGTCATCGACATAATATAATGTCATTAATTTTTCAATTATACCATATCAGTTTTGCAATTACTACGCACATCAGTGCAATAACAACTCTCTTTCAAAGTGGACTCATTAACACATCTACAACTAATTATAAATTTTAAATATATTTAAAATAATAATAACTAATATATATATATATATATATATATATATATATATATATGTGTGTGTGTGTTTAAAAACCAGTTTTTAGTTGAACCGATCTAGTGACCGGTTTAACTGTCGGTTTATATTTTTATATTTTTTATCGTCTACGTTTAAATAGTTGTATTCCTTCGAGCTTAATATCTTTACAATTATATTTTTTAAATAAGCCATAGTTATTAATATTTGTTAATCAAATAATAATTAAGTGAAAATTGAAGTTAACGTAAATAATAAGAAATTTCGAAAAGAAAATAAACAAAGCTTTTATATATATATATATATATATATATATATATATATATATATATATATTGGTTGTTAATATTTAAATATGATTTCT